ATAACCTGAAGAGAACAGGATGTATCCAGGGTAATATCAGATCTCTTTGTTTATCTAGGAGCTGGTTTTTATGGTGTAGAGCTAACCAGTGTCCACTAAATTCACTATGCAACCAACTAAATTGATTTGAGAGAGAGAGTTCTTTGGAGTAACTGAGTGATAAGACACACACTGTTCTCGGGTCTAATGTTAAATAAATCCTTTTAACAGTCTTCAGTTAGCAGGGTAAGTAAATCACAAATCACTGTTAGCAGATTCATGGAAGAAAATTAATAGAATCAGACGAGATAATCTGATAAGGGGGAAATTGCTAAGGAAACAGTCTTGCCTCCTATTGCAGGATGTAAAACAACAGTCTGATTACTAGGAGTCGTTATGAATAGGTGAATTGTGTGCTAAATAATCACCAGAGTAATTCAGCATTTATTAATTCTTTTCTCTTTAAGCAATTCGCAGTTGTAAGTTAAAGCCACTCTCTCTTTGAAGACACATCTTTTATAATTTTTATTAGAGGCAATTTATTATTTGCATTACCTGTATTTACTTCATAATTGAACATTTTGCATTCAAATTTATGTAATGCATTATGCTTGAGAATATATTTCTGCCTGATTAGCATAAATAGTCACTTACCTCATGAATTACTAACAAAGTTTATCTTAAAATATAGGTTTTTTTATTAAGTGGAACGCAAACATATGTACAATAAATTCTGATTTTCCGGTGCAGTTAGAGAACAACTCACATTACGGGGGAGCAGGGGGAGGCGGGGAGCTCAATGTAGACAGATGACACTAGCAGCTTCTTTCTTCCGAGAGTACCATTTAGATGAGGACAGGTGAGGGCAAGGGGGGAAAGACTGGAGAAGGCTCTGGGTTCCCTACACACTGTTCGTGGTATCGACTGGGTAAACTCAGTATGAAATGTAGACTCTGACAAAAAGGCAATTAGTCATGGCCACTTCTGTGGACTACCACAGTTTCAAGTCAGTAGTATTGATGTAATTGGGAGGAGCTGTTTATTTGTATTTATTTGGTTTGTTTTTGTCTTCACAGGGCTTTTCCTTTCATAAAACACTGGTTTTGCACAGGAGGTATGAGAAACCCTGATATTTTCTGGGAAGGTGGACTGGATTTCGCCCAGATCTGTCCCCTTCCTTCTTCATCCGACAACCCCCAGCACAGCCTGGCAGACAGGAGGCACTGATTTAATAAATACTTTGAGGGCTACGTGAACACTGGGATTAAAGATTTCTGTGGTTTCCAGCAGTAGACAGAGATGTGAAATGCCGGGGCCTATTTTCCGCTTGCCACCTTTTCTCTGTTTCCTGTTTCCTTTCAGGGCCTAGCCTGGTGCTCCGGCTTCGTATTTCCTTTCTTTCAATTAGGACCCGGTTCACAGCTTACGCCAGTGAGGGAGTTTATCTCCAAGGTATTGGACCCTTCAAAGATTTTATTGTCATCAGCTCAGATCTGCTTTTAAAAAAAGCAAAGGAGATTTTTTAAAAAAATAAAGAAACCTGATATAGGAGAATCTTTCTGCAGGTGGTGTCTTTTTTGCCTGGTCCCTCGGAGGACACAGGTTTGGTGGTAGGGCTAGCTCTGAAGTCTGTCCTCTTCGTGCTCCTACTAACGGGGGATGCATAGCTCTCATGCCAGAAGTGCTGAGCGGGAATCTGGCCTGGAAAAGAAATGCAGTTCTAAAAAGTCCTGAGAAAAGGTTAATTCTTCTGGAGTTGTGAGGAAAGAATGCCGAAGGAGGTGTTTTCTGGATTTCTTTAGCCAGGGCCTGGGGAGAGGTGTCTCTTCTAGCTCTGTTTCACATTGTAGTTCTCATCTTCATCCTGAGTGTGGCTGAGTTCTCTCCTAAATTGCTCCATGCACTGAAAACAACAGACATATCCAGAATACTCTCACATCAGCCTACGATGCAACAGAGGATTCCTGCTCTGATGGAGGTCAGAAATGAGGGGGACCTCTAGCCACCCCCAAATGAAAATCAAGGCTAAATATAACCCTTCTGATAGATATTTTAAATTTATTTATTTATTTATTTATT